CAAAGGCTACTGAACTGGCTCTGTGGACTGGATTGGAAGAGTCCACCTGGTGCGGTACAAGGATTTCAACTTTGGTTGCTCTAGTATATAGATTTGAAAGCGAGCGCACTACCACTGAGCTATCCGGCAACATTGCTGGCGTTTTTAAAATTTCAGTTTGCCGCTCCCTTGAATCAACGCTTTTTATTTAGTCGATCCCATTTGCGTAGTGGTTAGTGAGCCTGTCTCAAACGTCAAAGTGTGTGCGGTTGATACTGGAATAATATTTCGTCTGTACGTATTCAAAAAAATATTTAAGCTATGCATATAAAGTTATTACTTTGCTTGGAACTAGATAACATTGTGTTAAAATATATCATAAATTATTTATTTGACACAGTCTGACTTAGGAAATTGAAAGCATTCGTTTTTACATGGGCTTAGTTGTCTCAATTTAGCAAATCTATATTATAAATACCAGGTAATTCATATATATATTTTTTCAATTAGAGACCGGAAGAATGCTCAGTCACGGATATTTGTCAGTAGTATCCGGAAGTCCATGAAATATATTATCATTTAAAAATACCTTTAAATATTTTGTATGTTAGAATTTGCCTCATAAATATTTAGAATTATTTATTTAGAGTAGTTCGAGCAATGTTGACGTAAGAGTTCACAAACAGTGGAAGCCTCTCGGCTGTGTGTTAGTAAATATTTACGCATCAAAATGTAAAGGTTAGGTCGAAATTGTAGCTTGACTGACAGTGCTTATATAAAGTTTAGCGACGCTTCTCTAAGTGCAATAGCGGATTTGGTTCCGAGGCAACAGCTTAGTTTATTTTAATATAATTGTCCCTAGTATAGGCAGTCCATCTTTTACCGCAGACCTAAGGCAAATTGCCTGTTATGTAGACTTTTAAAATGGGCATGTAGTAACATATTTATAAATTAGACCACGGTTAAAATAATTTCATTTAGTCACGTTTCTGATAAAGTTATCAAAGATTCAAATGGGAAGAGCTATGGTAAAGATGGTTGAACAGCCCTTTCCCTCACCTACCACGCTTTTCTAAATATTGTGATACTTAAAATATTCATAAAAACCTTTCGGTTTCATATGATAAATTAAAAACGCTCAAAGCAACGCTTTTTTAAGCAACGATTGTTATTTTGTTACAAATTAATTTTCTCAGAGGACATGAAGCGTATGTCGATGGACTTAAACAACATGCATTCGATTATTTTTTTCTTCTTGAAACTCTGGTTAGCGGTTTTAAGGCAAAAGAGTTAAGCATTTTTTTTATTTTTATTTTCAAATTCAGATGAATAAAATCAATTTAATAAGAATATTGTAAATAATATTGGAATCAATCTATTAGTTCCTTTGTAGTGACTGTAATCAAAAAACATATTTTCCTATTTGTCATGATAATTTTTATAATGAAAATGAACTCATTTGCACAGTAATTTAATGGAAACCGAAAGAAAATGTCTTACTTTTGTCAGCGACATTATCAGTTACTTTAAAATATATCACTCCTATTTATGTAATACTAGCTTATCGCCCGCGGCTTCGCTCGCCTTGAAGCCCTTAAATAAATACCTTTCTTTAAAAAAATCCAATTAAAAATAGCCTAGGTCCTTTCTTAGGATTTAGACTATCTCTGTACCAAATTTCATTTAAATCGATTCAGTAGTTTTAGCGTGAAAGCGAGACAGAGTTACTTTCGCATTTATAATATTAGTATGGAAGTATGGATAATTGATAGGTACATATTATCACGTACTCCAGTATAAAACGAATATTATATTAATAACAGACAACTAAAGTTAACACGCAGTTCGTCAAGTTTGCGAATCTAACACTGGACCCGTGGCCTCCTAACCATAACTAGAATAACAGAGTCATTTATTAATGAGCTGTAGTACTCTTTATATATCCTGTTACGTGAGATAGTTTAAAAATGAACTAAATAAGGACAACCTAAAAAAGCTTAAAACCTAAAAACGCCACTCTTTACGAATTGGACCGCACTACAATCGGCAAGGCGCTAGCTCCTTGTACCAATATCAGGCAGCGTAAACAGAGCGGTCGCCTTGTTAACCTAAAAAGTTAACAAGGATCGGCCAGCACTTAGCCGGGCCACGTTAACTTGGTGGACAAAGCCGGGGTTTGTTTACAACGCCTAGTTGCAGGTTAAGTGGGCTAATTGTTGATAGAATGCCAGCAAGGGCTGCACCTGCCTCGGGATTCGGCGGTGACGTTTGTAACATCAACGCATATGCCATAAATGTAGTCCTGATAGTGTGGCCAGAGGATATGTAATACAGTAGTAGGGCTAAAGGTTGTATAATAAACAATATAACAGGGAACTTATAGTATCAAACTGTGCGTGCACTGCGCTCTGTTACCGGTTACCGCTGTTTGAATGATCAAATCATCTTTTACATATGTAGATTGGCTTGAAATAGCAAGTGCAACAACACTTGCAATTAGATTACTTTTAGAGAGATATTTGCAATTATTTTTTTTATATTTAAGGTGTGACCTACCATGCCTTGAGGGAACCACTGGGTAGTTTGTTACGTTCTATATAAAAAAAATCAGAATGTATATTTTACAGTAATTTCGAAGGATTTTCTATTGAATTAAATTTACTAAGTTTGTCTTGTATCTAGGGGTAAGTTTAGACTCACAATAAAAAAAGATACTGAGATGAAGTTGCTAAAGAATAGTAAAATTTCCATTAACTTTTAATAATGACTTGTCTACGAATATTTATCGGCACACACGATATACGATAAATATGTAGTATATTCGAATTTTAAAATTAAAACATTCAAAGTACCAGGTGTATGTAAATCGCCTATTAAAATCGACATCCCGCTTGACAAAGGGAATGACAGACGGACAAAGGCCTATTAAAATGAAAGCATTTTTTTAATTCGTTAAAATAGTTTCGATTAAGACAGCATATAAATGAACAGGCTCAACTGTGGAATATGCTAATCCACACTACGTTGTAAGTTTGTAGAAAATACCCACCTCTATAAATATTTAAATTTTAACCCATTTGTTTAACAAACAATAAGTAAATACAAAATATAAAGCATCTCTACGCCATAATTTTTAAATAATCATAACTTCTTAAGAAAAAGTAATTGTAAATACAAGTGAAATGAATAAATGGGTTAGAATACTGACTTACGATGGCTCTCAGTGTATCGCTAATAAAATATATGAAGAGTCGGCATTCGGTGTTTTAGTTCGCCGGCCTGATATGAACACGACGAAAGATGTAACTGAAAAATTAAACATTTTAATTTTTCTATAAATCAGTTTCTGATCTTAGCATACTATATTTTAACAATAAATTCTTGATTTTCTAGATATATAGGCAATTTTACTAACAAAACAGTTTAGGTTAAGAAAAGCTGTGGTAGAAGTAAGTATTGTAGATAAGTTTTGTATGGCCAGTAACAGTCTTTTCATATTAAAAAGATTAACTGCTAAGATTAATTGTTGATTAGAAATTCTTCTGGTTTTTCTTTGTGAGGCTAAAAGACGTTTTACGTTCACAGCACCTCAATAAAAATGACATATAAGTTAAGTGAAAACATGATTTGGGGATTGTCCGACGGAAAGCATCACATTTATAGAAATATTAGTTGTGAAAATGTTTGTTACATAATTTTGGTTAAAATTTATCTATTCACCATAGTATCGTTCCTTAAAATAAAAGTTGGTATGACCGATTGTTCTGCAATGTTATAAGTATGTTATTTATTTTGAAATGAAAATAGAAGTTAAAAAATAAGTTAAATTATTCAATATAGATATTTTAGATTTACAAGAAGATCGTAGTGGGAGAGAAATAAGTTCTTGGACGCATTTGTTGGGTGAGTATTCATTTGAATAGTGAATACTGCGGTTAGGCACTTTTGACATTCGGACCCTGCTCCGGTGCGGGCGTCTCTACAGGCAATTGATTAGTCGGCGCCCTTTGTGGCCCTCGCCGGCGCACTCAACAATTTGCTAGCGGCCCGACCGCCCTAATTTTAATGGGCTTATAAAATTTATTTTTAATGTATTTATCATAAGGGAGATTGATGTGGATACGCTCCGGCGGAGTTCACGCTGCTTAAGAACGTTCGTTTTGTAATTAGATTGACATGATGACTGGTGAACGAGTTGCAGGTCGATGTATTGATATTGGAAAAAAAGGAACCAATTCTCACTGTGTACTCGTTTTTATTAGTAGGGTACATTTTAAAATTTGATCCAATACGTTAGGCACATTATGAAAACGGCCTCTGTAAATAATTGTTGACGTAATGAAATTGTTATTAACTCCCAAATTGAGCAATATGTTATATTCTATAGTACGATTTGAACTATTCGCGATTGTTATTACATTTCGATCGAAAATTCTAGATTGGTATAAATAATACCAGTCTGGAATTCTTCTATAATACGTTGTTAAAAATGCATTTATTTATATTATCATTTGAAAATCGAAAATTTTACCACGTCGACTTTGTGTGCAATAGAAGGAAATATAATTTTCCTCTCTTTTTTATAATATTATATAAATAATTAATTAATGTGTCATTACTGTTTAATAAAATATAATTCATTTATAATGAACAAATTAAGTCAATTTCTTCAACAGACCTTGGAGGTTATTTGTTAAGGTTCGAAAAGCTTTGTTGACGGTTGGGATGACCTTTAAAATTCTATAAAAATGATTTGAATGTTAAGGTAGTCAAAATTTAGTTTCATACTTGTTTGATTATATGTGGAGTAGTACGTATAAAACCACTAAAATAAAAATTGATAAGTTAAACATTTTAAAATAGATCGTATTTTTAGGGTTCAATTTGTACTTTACCGTATATTAATGTTGTATGCCGTGTATTTTTTATATTCATATAGTGGCTTAAAATGGCGGCTTTTCATTGATATGATGTTACACGTGCTGCTCAACCCGAACCTACCACAAGAGTAGCGTCAATCGATGCCAATGCGCATGCGTAAGAGATTCATGCGGTACAGTCACGTCGACAAATGCTATTAGTGATTTTTTTTTAATTTAATATTAAAACAACAATAACATTGTAAGCTTATTGATCCTGTTCGAATTTAAGGCCGTATATTACAGATCATGTACGTAACCTAAATAATATTCTTCATATAAATATATGAAGAATAAAATAAAACCCCAACACCTGTAATATTTTATACAGCCATACAGTAGCTTCTGTTGCTACATGAAAGCACAGGCCAACGAAGTACCACGTTAGGGCCACAACATGTCTTGCTGTGCAAGGCGTCTGGGCAACGGATAGGCAAGCTCGTCTGAGGAAGTACCACGACCTCACCGAAGACCGGGGTGAAATTAAAGTTTTATTCTTTCTCGTTTCGTCTAGAGAGTGAAGTACCGGTGAACATTTTTAATTACCAGTATAACAATGTCACTGTTATAATAAGTAATTTAAAAAAAAATCGTCTTGCCTTTTATCATTTTGATATATTTAATTATCTTAAAATTTCTAGTCGTAATGTTCATTAAAATTCCGCTGCGTACTTGAATGGAAAACTAAACGACTCAAAAATACTTCTCCGCGCAACATTACTGCGGCCGACTTCCATCGAGGTATGCGGCAATCGTGCTCCCCTGAAAACTCAAGTGAGAGCTTAAAAGCTATACCCCTCAGTTCACGTTGTAATTAACTGAAGATATAACTTTCACTGTCATCGATACCGTCTCGAGGACTGTAGTCGGCGAAAAACCAGCGAAAATGTGAGTATTTTTTTGTTTTATGCGTTAATAGTACAAACAGGACAGGCTTGCACCTAACGTGACGTTATTTTGAAAATTTGTGATTGTTGATTAAATAATTTCTTGCTGAATTTGTGATTTATAATTTGGTTCGTTGATGAAAAAAATGTTTAAATTACATTTCTATATTGAGAATTTCAAGAATACTATGAAAATGTTTTTAAATGATACAAAGCGGTTACGTTAGGTACTAATATCGTTTCTGAACTTTGATAGATAATTGCAAAGCAATGTAAGTTTGCTTCTGAATGTTATAACAATTTCAGACATACCAGAAAGATAAATTTATGATAATAACTTAAAACCATTTAAAACGAATGGTTTTTAGTGTTTTAGAATCGAGTTTAAGATTGACTTGTTATGTATAATAGCAATAAAATTTCAGTCAATGAATTTTTTTTTATATTTTTTTGCGACGACATGAGTGTTTTTAATGCTGTGATCAAAATGTGAAATTGAAATTTCATGACCATTTCATTTGAAGGGATTTTACATTTCCCCTACAATACGATCAATTTGTCACTTCAATAAAGCTTAAGCTATTTTTTATATTTAGATAATTTAAAATATAGCTTAAATCTAAAACTAAAAATAAATAAAGTTCGTTAATGGTAAGTTAGAATAAACGATCATTAAAATTGAGTTTATTGGGGTATAATTTTTTGAATATATCAATGATCGTTGTACACTTTTTACAATACTATATTTTTCAAATCTTTAAATATGAGGGTCTTTGAAAACATTATTGTCCAGCTGTCCAGCCATGAAGTTAGTATTCATGTATGGAGAATACCTATTGGGCAGAAAGTGAGACTTGCCGCCTGAGGTTCACAGTTCGAATCTATGACGCGTGCACAATTCGCATAAGTTCCTGATTTGGATTTCGAAACTACTCTTTTCTTTATCGTTGACTCGTATTTGTAATCGTCCTGGCAGACTGATTGGCACAAGCATTTTGGGATCAAAGAAATAAGAAAAGATTAGAATTTGGGATCTAAGAAATTATATTAATATTTGGAAAGTACTACTTTGTCATTTTTGCCTAGATTTAAGAAGTGAGCTGCGTACTCTTAAAGGGCTCAATATTTAATCTTTGAGTCCTAGATGAAGTGAACTTAATAAGTATGTATGTATGTATTACAACACATTATAAGTCAGTACTTAACACAAAACACCTCTTTCTTTTCAAATAAAATTGCGGGCACACTTCAGTTTTCCGCAGCCCCGTTTTCAATGTATTCATCAACATTTTTACATAATGCCGTAGAAGTAATGACGCAGCGTATCATGTTACGACTGGTGTGGCATCTTGCCAACTGCTATATCGATTGGCACACCATTACTGTTTCATTGGCACTCAGCTTATTAAATATTGAAGCACGAACGCTCGGTTTGAGCTCCACGTTAAGGCTTCTTGCGTTTGAGAGCCGATATTTTCGAGTGTTAACTTTCGTCACCGATGACATATCCAGTGGATTTTAAGTTTTATAAGAGCCTTTAAATGTTCACTGTATGGATACGTCTATATGAAACATGTACGTATTTATATTTTTATTTATTTTAAAGGCAAAAACATAATTAAAAGCGCTACTGTAGTTTTAGGTGCTAATTTTTCTAAACGCAACTACAATATTAATCCATACAAATTGTTTGAATATAGCTGTGAAGAAGTTGTATATAAGTAATATTCGAGAGAGAAAGAATGGTTGGAATAGTTATACACAGTTTTTTAATTGTTTGTCACAAAAAAATATACTTCCGATCGTTTATAATTTTTAATTGAGACAGTTTGCAGCAGATGTTCGTTGTATTCGCGATCTAGTATTAAATTAATGTTGAACCACTTCCATTTCAGGGCAGCTGAGGGTGAAGCACCAGGCGGTCTAGCGCCTGCCGAGCCTCAGACCGGACCCGATGGCGAGATCATCGGTGGACCCCGCACGCCGCAGCAGATCGCCGCCCAACGAAGGCTTCAGCAGACGCAAGCCCAAGTTGATGAGGTGAATGTAACTCATTAACTTGACGTACGTAGCAGCCTATGTGTGTCCCACTGTTGGGCAAAGGCCTTTTCCGTACAGAGGCTATTAGGAAATAATTTATCATTTGGAAACATATTATGCAGGTTTCCTCACGATGTTTTCTTTCCAACACGAGCAAGTGATAAGTTCGAACTTAAAATATCATTGGTACCGGATTTGAATTCAGGTTGCTTGATTATATCGAATAATTCGATTTGTGTTATAGCTATCTCGTAAGTTTATCTACTGTTACAGAATACTATTTAGATTTTTAATACAATAATAATGTTAAACTGTACTTTTTGTTTTCACACACGTAAAACTCATTCGTTTTCTAGAATACCAACGTAGTACGATAGTTATTACAGCACATCTAATTTGAAAATAAATTGATAAGATGAACTGGTTGAAACAGAAGTCGTATTATTTTTGTAGATATAGAGTTCATACAATTTATTAATCTTACTTAATTCATCATAAGAGATTATTAATATTCGCTATATAAGAGAAACTGTTATTGACATAATTTTGTTCAATTTCAATTATATTGTTTTCAGGTGGTGGACATTATGAAGTCCAATGTTGAAAAAGTACTTGACAGAGATGCAAAACTATCAGAATTGGATGATAGAGCTAGTAAGAATTCAACCTTCCCCTATATAATTTATTTTCATTGAAAACGCATTGTCCAAGAGATTCTTCGATTTAGAATAGTGTCTAAAGGCAAACTAGAGTGTTAGCTACAAAATATTGAATTATATTTTTTAAAGAAACTATAGTTACGGATCCAATATTTACAATATTAAATGTTTAAATTATTAATTTATAGCATGCAAGGTCTTGGGATACATTGTTATATTCAACACGACGGGAATTTAAATTTTAAATGTATATGTACACTTTGCGGATAGTATACGGTTTTTTGTTTTGAATAAAATTTCGATTATTTATTTGATTTTTCATTTACAAAAGTGCAATATATCTACACGCGGCAACAATAGATATAAATAGTATTTTAATAAAAGTTGAAAAAAAATGAATAAAGTACTATTGATTACTATTCATATGAAGAAGAATCAGTATAACTTTTTAGAGAGAATAGTTTGAAACAATACTAACTAAAGAAATATTTTTTTGTAATTTTTCACCTTGCCGAAATATATTTACAGATGCTCTTCAGCAAGGCGCTTCACAGTTTGAGCAACAAGCGAAGAGCTTGAAGAATAAATTTTGGTTACAAAACTTAAAGGTAATTTCAGGGTATTAATTATTTTCCATGAGTGTCCAGAACGTACTCACTTTTAAAATCAGGATTTTTGATAAAAAATATATAGGAAAGTGTTGTCTTAGCTAAAACAAATTCTGTAGTACTTATTTGTTTCTCCCACTGTTTTAAAATGTTGGCAACGTATCTACATCGTCCCAGGTGTTTTATATGTCCATGGGTAATCACTTAACGTCCCGTTAACAGATTGCTCACGTGCCAAAATTTCACATAAAATATATTATTAAACTATTAACATTGAATGTTATAAATCTATCATCGCTAGTTTCATAATAACATTTTTTGCATGTATTTTTACATGAGCTTTAAGTGTATTAGTACCTTTTTCATTATATTTTTTGAGTTGTGTTTTTTTAATTTTCCGTTTCGTTTTCTAGGTTATGAACCTGTATTTTATTATTATAAACCATTATTTTTACTGTTATTTTATTATTTATATTAACTTATTCCTTTCCAGATGATGATTATAATGGGTGTTATTGGGCTTATAATAATTGGATTGTTATTTGGTAAGTAAATAATTTCGACATATTATGAACAATAAATGTTTTCAAGACTAAAGTTCTAAATAATTTTGATTCTCAACGACTTATTTTGAAAAAAATATGACAATGTACAATCACATAATAATAAATAGAGTATATAGAGTAACCCAATGTAATCATAAGCATACGCTACTTTCTATACTTTTTTACTCAAATCAATGAAATGGAATCGTATTTTTTTCTATGAATGCTTTAGAAGTAATTTCTAAGTATGAATGTATAGTTGTATTTAAAATAGAGGATTATTACATTGATGACAATGATAAGTTGACATTGCATTGGACAATCTGGTAAAATTGGTCCCTTAGATATTTAGAGAAAATACAAAATCGGGTAAAATCATAGCACAATTTTAATAAAGTCGTACTGAAGCTAAACTGTAGTTAAATTAGAATTGGCATGTAGTGAGTAAGGTAGCTGGGGCCCACTCTTTTAAAGGAAGAATACGCACTCAATAGGCGTCATATAGTTAGCATGGGCGGCGGTAATCAATTAACACGAAGTGATGCGCCTGCTCTCTTGACCATTTATTACATAAAAATGACCGTTAAAACTTACTCTAAATATTTAAAGGACTGGCCAGTCAAATACTTCGGGAGCAGAATTCTTTTGTATTTTGTAAAGTTTTCGAAGGCGTAGAAGGATACAGCAGTAGTAGCGTAGTAGCTGGTCCCTTCCGGGCGTGTTTCGCTTATGGCTGTTGCAGGTGATAATATTAAAGAAATGTTTGGTTAGTTCGGTACCGCGGCACGCCGACTATGACTGGTATTTCAACAGTTGCTTCGGGCGCAATCGACAATAATAGCACTGCACCGGTGTCTAAGGATTGTGAGTAAAATTGCCCTTAGAATTTTCATTTTCCATGCTTTCGAATGCACACGCCAGATGTCTTTCACGTTAAAGTTAATATGTTAGTTTATTTCTATATGAATATCCTTCTTTGTTTCAATGTGTGCTTTGGCAAGTTTCACACATCAAACATGTACACACTAAACAATTATTAGAGTTAGTTGGTGTTTTGTACTTATTGAATTCACCATCAATTTTTCCATAAATAACAAGATAAAATTACAAGATTTATGTTGATGCTTAAATTACTTGTAGTTTTTAGAATATAATATAGATTTTCTTAGGCAGATGATAAAAAAATCATATGTATTTCAATCAATATATTTTCTTTACATAGACACGCACAACCACTAGCTGACACATTTATGAGCTTATGTTTGGCGAAATCTTACATTTATATACGCATATTAAATTTATTGCATTACAATAAGTTTGTATTCATGTTTCAGGAAAGTATATGTAAACTTGCCGCACTTCACCACAATTACAAAGATTCCGATATCGATCTACGAAAAAATTTGTTAAATATGTAACTATTATTGTGTTTTAAATGTAAAAAAAGTCCTTGTGTTAAACGAATAATTTAAAAAGTAGCAAATCGAGGGACTATTATTATTAAAAATATAAAATGAAATATATATTTATATATGATAAAAAAATCTGATTATAATAATAACCAAGATGCGAATGTAATTCATGAATTTTATTATTTTGATAGCTACTATACGTTTGGCCTTTGAATAATATAGGTATTTGATTTAATTATAAGGTTTATAAGTAAATTATAAAATACTATGTTAGTTTTTATTTAAGTTACAAGTAAGAATTTATTAGGATGCAGTTTTAATTTTAAGGAAATCTTTAAGCTTCTTATGTAAAATACACTATCTCTTAAATACAATAGCTTGATGGAATTGAAAATTATGAATAAGATGTAGTTTTTTCATACGCTAGTAAGATTTCTTACCTCATATTCTCTTTCTATAAGATATGATGGAAAGTGAAAGCGAAAAATTTTGTTTTTTTTTTGCTTATTTCCTCTATAATTTATATTTGTCAATTACTTTCATATCTTTTAAGAATAATTACGTCAATTATTTAAATATTTAAATATTACGTTATTTATCGAGAAAAAACTATATTTAAATTTTCTATTTCAATGATAAAATGTTTAACTAAATTAATATGTCTTATTATTTTAACATTGTGTAGAAATAATTATGACCGATTGCTGTTAATATTTACGCTTGAACTTTTAACAGTGTTCACTTCAAGAGTCAAAATACGTACTGACGAACATATGGTGCCATCGACAATATTAGTTTTTTTATAATTGTCTTATGATACTCGATTATATTAATGCTCGTAATTATTACTCTTCGATACGTAAACAAAGGATCACGTGATTTTCATTAGAATATTCTAGGTTGTTTCTAAGCCTATTATTAGAATATTTCGATGCTTTAATTGCAAGAAGAATAAGATTAAAACCCGTCGAAGAACGCTGTTTAATGATAGGAGTATGATGTGCCAATTTGGCTTCTTAAATTGTTGCAATACTATTTATTGTATTATTATTATATATTTATTTTTCCCTGATTAAGATTTAAACAACGGTAAGATATCTACCGGAGATTACTTTAGGTTCGATCAGTAGTTTAATTAGTTAAACTCTATATTTGTGTATTAATAGAACTATGTATGTTTAGATTATTAAGCATACGTTTCACCATGTTTTAGGTATCTCATGTAAAGCGAATTACAATGCGTCTTATAATGGTTGTTTAATTCCAAGTAGTGTTAGTGTTTAATTGAGAGTTTTAAAGTTACTCTATTACTCTTGTTATGTTTAAATTTTTATCGTAGTTTCTCTTTGAACTTGTGCTTATTAGATGCATCATATACTTCAGTTATTTAGTTCTGTGTACATTTTGTTATATGTAAATTATAAGTGCAATATAATAAATTAAATAGTTAATAAATAAGTTTGTCTTTCATTCCCAAACAAAGTTGGGAAATAATATCAGTCGAATGAACTTATGAGCTATTACTAACAGAGCGATTTATTAAATGCATAGATGACATGCTCACGTTTGTACCACTTCAACAGTTTCCTCATCTACTACGTTTGGAAGTCAATAAAACATGCTGCTCGCAACTGCTATTTAAGCTTTCAAAGACAAAAGTATTATTTCAAGACACTTCCACTTCAAAAACTGGCTGATTCAGTGTTAAAGTGATTTTGATATTGATCATATATACGAAGTCGGTAATTAGCGGTATTATATATCGGTTATCTTTTACAACTTGTGACTTAAGTAAATCTAAGTATAATAAGATAACTATAGTGTTCATGTTCAGTTTTACTGAGAGTGTTTCACATAATTTGAAACATATTTATCAGCTTGCGTTTTGCGTATAATGATTGAGTTATCGCTCGGATACCTTGGATTGAGTTTGTGTAGTCTTTTATCGGTAGAGCGCGCGAAACTTCCATTATTTAATATTTAGCAACGATACCCGACACAATGTTAACGTGTTAATAGTGCAAGACAACGGACAATCTTCTTAAATTGATAAATTTAGTCCTGTCATAGTAAAATGAAAGAAATTACTTCCATCTACACGCGAATTACGACTTACTCTCGGTCGAATAGAGTCAAAAATTGATCATTCCACTCCTGCTTATGGTCGTCTCTACGAGAGCCCCATAGACAAGACCATGGAGAATGATGTGAGAGCTCGCGAGCTTTCTCTTTGATAGTTGCCCGCCATTTTGACTTACAGTAATGGCCTCTATGACGTGAATTATGCGCTCGTGTCACTAGAGGTAAAGTAATGTCGGTAGTATCCGAACACTTAATGTGAGGTTAAATTAAAGGGTGCCTAGGCGATCTGAATCGAATAACAATCGCTTGAAGAGTGTTTATAAAGTTTATAAGGTCTCTATTCGGCTTAATGGCTGACAGTTGATGTATGATATTGATTTTTATTTACTTAACGGAATAGAAACCACTTTAGTTTGAATATTTTGTTTCAATGTCTGCTATAGCTCACGGATAACGACCTTATGTTTTATTTTGTTTTGAAAATATTCAGCGACACCAATACTGATATCAGTTTGACATCACTCATTGTTTAATTGCATATCAATAACATTTAATATCGATCTCACAAACAATAATTGTAAAATATTCTGCCATTATTATTTGTATTATTCAATAGTGATTCCAGTTCCAATAGTAATTTAACTGAAAGCCATTTATTCGTTAATATTTTATCAGTCACATTATAAGTTTTAGAAATTTACTTTCCTCATAAAAACATTTTTCTTATTTTTATTCTTCAGGCCTCCTTTAGTTTTTTGTTTTTTTTATTTTGAGATCTTTATAGTTAATTCAGGGGCAGATTTAGAATTGGACCTATTACGTAAAACCTTTGGCTTTGTGCCAAATTTTAATTAACTGTCTGTATTATTTTAAAATTACTTTGGTGACTGGTTCGATTTACATTAGATGGAATTTTAAATGCTAGCCATGCCTTGGATTATGTGGATGTCCATAAGTATATGATATAGGATACCTCAGCATAACTAGCATTGGGTGAAATTCCTGCCCATTTGTCCTCTTCTCTCCTAACAAAAGGTTTGAAGTTTACATTGAGATAAGAACTTAATATTCTTTTGATATATTATCAAGTGACTTTTTGCATTAAAACCCGAATCATTGGCAAAATATTCGAGCTTGTAACTACTTACTATGGCAAAAAACGAAACGCGAAAGCTATATTTCTTTGAGCCGACAGTCAATTATTTTCACTGTGGGAACTGTCTAAGAAAACAAAGCGTCTACAGTTACAACCGTTTTCGTATTGAAGACGCCGTATCATTTACCACTTGCTCTCGCAAACAGCTTTTGTTTTGTAATCAATATTGAAATGTAAAGCAAAGTGAAGAACAACGTATACATGTATCTTAGTGCTGTTCAAAGAGTATTTGTCCACCACCACGCAGAGACAAACACGATCGAAATATTTTTGCTTATAATGATATGAAATTAATAACGTGAAATAATTTCTCATCAAAGAAATAATTTTTTTAAATAAAACTATTTTAGGGAATTTCTACAGTGTAAAGAAAATTTAAGAAGGACTACATTACGCAATAATTAACAGATACCTTACCCGAAGCATCCCGGTTAAAAAAGTCTCCAGTTTTTGACCTCCTTGAATAAAATTTATAAAAACTTTTGATGAATGTTGCCTATTGAAATGGGAACAACACTGCAAGTCGTTGAGATACACTTTCTGCCGGATAAAATAACTGTCCCAAAAGGTTACCGTAGCCTGAGTTAAGTATATTATTAGGTCCGTATCGGCCAGCCAAGCACGGATACCATGTTCTCTGTAACGTGTTCAAAATGTCGGGAATAAGAATCAAAAGGAAATCCGTAAAACGTTAAGTTTTAATAACAAAAAAAAAAATCTGTTATTTATACAGATCCGATTTCGCTTTCCTACATCACTACAAACGTGGAAAAAAGTGAGTAAAATTGCAGTTGATTATTTCACTGGTTTCGGCATCACAAAATATGTATGATTCATTACATTTATCTTATTAGCATTCTACTGTTCTATCATAACAATTTAAGAGTCGCAATTCTTTTGGTATTTGAGTAGACTTATCGGAACGATAAGTTTACTTAATTCCGTTCCAATAAATTGATGACGATCCATTGAAATAAATTGACGAAAAATATTACAAAAGACACAATTCTCGTAACCTAACCAATTTTTTGCAATACTCACAACAGTTTTCGAACGAATTTAGTTTCGACGAGAACTTGTGTTACAGGGCACAGGATTTCGCACCTAGAACTGGTGAAGTCGGTTTCGAGATATTAAATTTAGTATTAACACTCGGAGCACTATTTAATTACATGTCAAGAGTGGGCTGCTTTATCTGTCAGGTGGGTAGAGATATTAT